ATTGTATTGACCGAAAAAACAGCAATAATTGTTTTATTATATGATTCACTGATAAAATGATGCAGCTCATTATTTGTTAACTTGCATTTAACAAAGTCCTAGCCAAATACAAGAGAGAAACAGACTTAAAATGTTAATAAACCTTACCAGTCGTATCAATTTGAAATGTTTTTTTAATCAATTTTAGTTGCCATGAAAAAAATAATATAATGTCAGTCTTTTTATAAGATAGATTTTGAAAGGAAGGAGTATTTATTATCAGGGAAAACTGACTGCCGAAAAGTAAAAAAAAAACATGTTCAGTAAAAGTGTTGGACGGGGGTCCCTGCATCCCCTCTTACCATATTCACCCTAAAATATATATTCGCTTATGTTTTTTTTCACATAGAGAAAAAATCACAGTCGTTTAAATAGCTTTCCAAAACAATTTGTATCAATTTGGAATTTCCCAATCTATTTTTAGATCAATGTAGAGGAAATAAATCCTTGTATTGATCTGGAACGTCACGTGCAGGTCAATACAACGTAGTATTTTTCTAACATAGTTGGATATCAGCCAATCAGAGAGATGGAAATTATTCAATCATATAATAAAACGCAATACATTTGCAACTTAACGCAATAATTTTTGTGTTTGAATTCATAGCAATAATATTACTATTCAACGCAAGATTTTTTCCATTTAAACATAATGCTCTTTGCGTGTAAAAGCAATAATCTTACTTCTGCTGATCTTTGAAGAGTACAGTGCACCTACTGTTACAACGCGAAATGTAATAACAACGCGAAATATAATAAACCTGGATTATTACATTTTGCGTTATTACCTTTTGCGTCTAAATCAACACAGAATGTAATAACGCAAAATGAAACAACACACTTTTGAGGATTATTACATTTCGTGTAATTATATTTTGTGTCGAGATCAACGTAGAATGTAATAACGCAAAATGTAATAACACTGTTTTTGGATTAGTACATTTTGCGTAGTTACATTTTGCGTCGAGATTTAGCAAAAGGCATGAGCAAAAAATGTTATAACACACTTGTTTTCATCACGTAGTAGCCGATAAAAAAAGAAAATCAAACAAAAGGAGAAAAATAGATATATGCAATTTCTTACAATTAAATTTTATAATATTGATTTAATTAGTTACATTATTTAAAATTAGTTTAATAATGTTTTTCCAATGAATCTATAAAAAAAACCCCTATATATATGTACTGGCAGGTGTGAATGTATAGCGGGCAGAGGTTTAATGACAAATGATACCATACTGTTCCATGCAAATCACCAGCATCGCAGACATGCAAAAACAAATTCTCTCTCTCTTTCCATCCAATAATAAAATGAATTGATTCTGCATGTAATACAATAATAAACATACAAAGTTAAACCCCATCCTATCCCTGCTCCTCACATACACGTCTAATTTGTTAACCAATCTATACATACAATGGCATATCAAGAGATTTTAATGAACCTATGGTCAATCTTGGGTAATCAAATAAATCATGTGTTACTGTAAAATTAAGTACAGTGTATTCATTATAACAAAAATCAGAGTAAAAAAAAAACGATGCATTTAGATGTATTTATGTCCGTAAAAGCCCTAGTGTTGGTCTCATTGCTTTAGTTCTAAATATTTTACGGTGTGTTTCCCCATGTTAATTACATGTAAATATTTGAATAATTTTTTTGTTATTTTTTGTTATACACAATCCAAATAATTAATTATATTTTGTTTTTTACATGTTGTTTTATTACATTTTGCATTGCCTTCAGTGCAAAAATAAAATTACGCAGAATGTAACAACGCAAAATGTAGTAATCTTAAATCATCTTATTACATTTTGTGCTATTACATTTTGCGTTGATCTCGACGCAAAATGTAATAACGCAAATTGTAATAATCCGAGTTTACAACATTTCGCGTTGTTATAACACTTCGCGTTGTAACATAGCTTTAATTTATTATTCTTAGTGAAAAAAAGTTGTAAAAATAGTTGTGATGAGTTTAAGTTGACAAATTGAAAAATTGGTGTGAAAAGACTAGTAAACATTAAGATATTTACTAAAGATAGCCAAGCATTTAAACATTTCAATGTCATTCCCCAATATTGGGGAAACCAGAAGCTGGGTAGACTTGATGATATGAACACCATCTTCCAAGCTCTTGAAGACTAGCAAGCGATATAATAGTCAATCGTTGCATATAATCTGAGTAGTTTACTGGGATACTGCTCTTGGTATAATCTCAAATACCATTGTCGATAATTAGCAACTGCATATAATTTGACAAAAAAGGTATGATTTGCATGTCGGAAAATTGGTTTTCAGGCAAGAAGGTAATTTTTGGGTTTTTCATGATACCAAATCATTTGCCAATTCCACTGTATTGGAAAAGATGGCGTTTTATATAAATATGCATAATATAAATATTTACTAATACCAATTACGCAAATGTTGTATTCACAAAAAAGAAAAATAAGCGATTATATGTTTAGCAAGTTTTTCTAATGTGCAGTGTATATATGAAATTATGATCCTTCATTGACCACATTTTGTAATGATAATTATAATAATATTTGATAACTCAGATCCCAATGATAAAATTTTAATTATAACAAATTTTGGATATATTAATTAAAGCACATGGCAAACATTTACAACCAAGTGGTGACATACACTGTAGCTTTATAGATTTAGCGAAATGACAAAAAAAAAATTAAAAGATCATTTTCATTAATAAACATATACCATAGTGGTTCACCGTCATACGGGTGATGAAAGGTTCGCGAACTATCACAGTCAAATACTCCAAAACTATAATTTAGGTCAGAATGGAATAGTTTCCAACAATTCTGTGTGCATTGTTCAATTAGCCCATGGACACTTATTAAAATCCTGTATAAAGGACAAGATAGGGTAAGTCCAGAATTTGGCCCCCGATTTGGGGTGTCTTTCAGAATGATCCAACAGTTTGTCGATAAAAACCTGTTGTCACCCCTGATACAAAATGAGTATTGGTTCTAGGATTTAAAATATACAGGGGCCACAGTGAGGTCACGAAATAGGTCAACTTTCGAAATTGCTCATTTTTATGCAAATTTTCATCAATTTAACAACACATTTTGTTTCGGAAAACATAGAGCACACGCTTGCCTATCTACAAAATATATATATTTTATACACTGATATCAGAGGCAGTTTATGTGGAAAAATCTCAGATAGGCAATTGCAAGCTTGTGCTCTATGTTTTCCAAAGAGAAATGTATCGCAAATAGGATGAAATTCCACCAGAATTGAGGAAATTCTGGAAAAAGTCCTACATCTCCACCCTCTACTGGCTTTCATGTATGCTTTGAATCTTTATTAGTCCTTTTTTAAGAAAGCATCATTTTAACTTCTTAATTACAAACTTTCACATTTTACCAATGTTCTGATTTTTACATCAAATAAGGGGCCAGATTCGGCCGTTACCCCATCTTGTCCTTTGTTTTCCAAACTGATTTATTTAGCCTTTTTTCAAGTGCAAATATGTATTAAGTACGTTTTCAACATACCGTAGCAGTGCATAGTCTAAAGATTATATGAGTGGGTTGATTTTAAAAAACAAATGCGTATATAATACAAATAGTAAAGTGTGATATCTAATGTTACGTCCACCATCTCTCTATTGGTATAGGTATAAATCTAACTTAGAACAATATATATAGTTCCAGTTGAAAAAAGTAATTTATCCAATTTTACACCTTATGCTGTGGTTTTCAAGCATTGGATTTTAATTTATATACCAAAGTTGTGACAACACAATTGACATTGAATGAGAGTTATTGAGTAAAATAAAAAGTATTCTATATAAAACTGCATGTGAAAATCATTGATAATGATTCATAAAACGTAATATAAAAAGGCTATCCTGTGATTTGAATTTGCCTATGATTTGTATCCAACTCATAGTGTGGGAAAAAAAACCCCGCAAGTCGTCTGATGAAAGTCACATTCAGAATAAAAAATATTATAAATTTATAAGTAGAGCGTCCTTAAGGTTTGGAAGAAAGTTTAGGTCGGGTAGATCAAACTCACCTTGGTTAAGTGTATGTTAAAAGTACTAAACATAAAGTAGCGATTACAATTTTAACATACAAGTATTTTGGAGTAAAAATTATCAGTTAATTTATAAATAAGTAATTTTCTAAAGGACCTATTAGAGAAAAAAATTCTATCTTTAGAAATGACCTGCTAGTAAGAGTTGGATTAATATTCCTAGAGGTATTTAACCAAATATTTTGATGGTGCAATGAACTATTTCATGGAGGAAGCTGTGTTAGTATGTTATATATGTATTTATATATATATCCATTCCTTTAGGATCATTTTTATTCGGGAGGTCCAATTTTCATGGAAAACACAATTTTACTCGTTCGTTGTTATAACATTTCACGGAACATTCGATAAAACTGTGCAACAATTGATATGAGCAAGGATTCTGTGTAGATATTCTACATGTGTAAGTGCATAAACATATGGTTGTATATTTACCTGCAACAACTACACATTGACAGTTTTGTGGGATACGAAACCAATAACTGAATCCAGTGGATAAGAGAGTAGACATGAAAAATCATATTGTATACAGGTTTTCTGATAACAACATCTAATATTTTCATTATCAATTTTTCGAACAAAAAAGTTGCATCACATGAATATGACTTTAAAAAAAAATTACTGTCCCAAGCAATCGCACAATTATTATAGAAAGCTACACACACTTGACCATTGACAATTTATGTTTAAAATATAAAGTGGAACACAATCAAATACTTAACAATAAGTGATCAAACATGATATAAGAGGAAATAAGGCATTGCCACGAAGCAGCTAAATTAAGTGTCACCTTCCGTAAACAATATATATATGATTAGTTTTACTCCACTTCACTTGTAACTTCCTTGTGATATTTTTTCACTCCTCCAGGACTCCTCATCATCCATGTAGAGAATAAGTTCATCATTGACAATTGAATTTTTGTCTACTCTTTGTACATGGAACAAAAAGTCATTTTGAATGACTAGAACCATACCTGTTTCAGGTAAGAATTTTGAAGAAAAAAAATGCTATATTTGTGGCATTGGGGTGATTAAACAATTATGGCTCTTTTGGTCAATATGGTTTGCTTTTCGCCAAAAAGAAAATAGTGACAGAGTCGAAGTCGAGGTTAAAGTCATTTCTGACGTATTTTTTGATAAGTTCAAACTAACTAAAATAAAAAGATATATCTGTCTTAAAGCATGGTACTAAATATTTGAATTACTCGCTGCCCTATTTCGTTACAATTTTTCTAACGTCTCTGTAGCCTCATTGTGACTTCAAGTTAGTGCACGTTTCTTCCGTGTTTATTTCTACGCGTGAGTATACATGAAAATGGTGTTCAAATCTATTTCACTGTTGGCTTCCTAGAAAATCACAGCAAATGTAAATACATGTCTATCAGAATGTTAATCTATTTCACTTCTCATCAGGAAAAGTGTTGAAAATGTTTTCCTTGTTGATAATAATTTATTGATTGTATTTTGTTTTACTTCCCATTTGATATTTCTCTCATATATAGAAACATCATCTCATACAATGTACCGGTGAAAGGTTTCAAGTTTAGACCTATGATTGGCACTAAGGGCAGTTAAGCAGGCAATTTAGCAGTGGGGGGTCTTTATCGTGACAACGACTTATGTGACACGGTCAACATGGGGCCCTGGTGTTTAGGTCTCATCCCAAGTGCTGAACTTTTGACGAAGAACATATTTCCGACTTACACTGTAGGTCAGTCATGCCCGAGATTCGAACAGACTACCTTCCGATCACGAAGCAAACGTTTCATAGACTAAGCTACCGAGACGGTCGTCTAATATAAGATAAAAAGTTTTCTAATTCAGGCAAAGGCTAAAACTTCCAAAGCTTCTCCAAAAAGGCTGGTAAAATCCATTTTTATAATGATTTAAATCATGATAGCGCTAAGACATGACGTCCCAATCACTCAGCTATGGCGTTGACGTCACAATCTAAGACAAGGCGTTACAAAAACGACTGCAATATTATAAACAGAAAATTGAATGTTTTGTTAGTGAAGCTTGAATTTATTTCAATCATGAGTTGTTATTCAGGATTTTTTTTTTCATTTTTCACTCTTCCTTCACACTCATGTTGTATATATTTTGCCCTATTTAACCTAAAAAAGGATAAATATCCGAATGTTTATAGATATATACATGTACGTACATAAATACATTTAAAAATTTTCTTTTAATTTTTCGTGTAGAAAAACACAGTTTTGGGGTCTAATTAATTCTTGGATACTAATGAAAAACCTTTCTCATTTTATTTTGTTTTTCGGATAGAATGACCTGCTCTTGTACACATCCCTTTCCACTTGGTACTGGTGCAAACGTATCTCTAAGAACCAAACCACTAGTAAGTCTCTAATAGTTCAAATGGGTTTTTTGTTTCCTTATTATTCAAAAAATCCAAATTTAGGTATTAAAATTCAGCCATTTCTCATTCTTAAAATAGAAAAAAAATATTTTAATTTCCGCAACAGTCATATTACATTTTACTCTATTGTATATCAATTTAAAAAGACTAGGTAAAAATTCTACATGGATACTGAATAGTATAGTTTTCGTATTCAGGCTCAGATAGGAAAAAGACAGTCGGATGCCAATGAGAAACGCATGAAATCTGTGGAAAGTAACATATATCATCAGAGATCTAAATCTGGTAAGAAACAAAAGTTATTTAAAAAGTTTTTAAACTTCCTTATTGCCCCAGTATACTCGCTGTTTTGCATTATTTTAGATCGTAAAATTTCAGATTCATATCGATCACCATACATTGAGAAGTGGTATCCAATCAGCAACTTTCCACGTCTTATTTACCACCATCAGTTGGTCTCTAAGCTTGCAACAAAGATGAGAAATTTCAGATCATCGTCTCAAGTCATTGCACCATTAATTATGAGTGTCCAAAAAGTCCAGCTTTACCTAGCCGGGGATATTACTAAAGAAACTGAAAAACTAATTTCTTCCTCAAAGGCTACAGGTATCCCTTCTCTCTCTCTCTCTCTCTCTCTCTCTCTCATATTTGGGTCTATTGGCATGTAATTAATTTTAAAATTATTTGTTTCCCTTTAGAAGAGCAAGAAGCTTCCTCTTTGAGGGGTGAACAACGATGGCCTGTTTCAGCGCTTATCTATTTTCAAAGTGAGAATGAACCAATAGAAAGAATAGAAGAGGTATTCATGATGTAATTACTTTGAACGCTTTTGAAAATGTTATATAAACTAAATAATTCACGAAAATTTAAAGAAAGCAACTGCAATTTTCTTCTTTTTTGATTAGCTTCTCAATTCCATACGACCAGTTGTATGGACAAAAGCTTACATAGTTCTCAATAAAGCTGGATGGTCATCGTTTGGAAACACATTTCAATCAAAATTCTCGATCCTCTCAAGAAAAAAGAAATGTGTTCGAGAAGCTATAACCTCTTTCCTAGAAGCATATTTGAAGAAATGCATCGAAGGATTTCTTGAAGAATTGAACGTTTACGAAGGAATGAATGAAGAAATACCAAAATTGTTGAATGAATGCAAATCAGTTTTATCACAAATGTCATCGACGAGAAATGAAATGCAGATCCCGGAAAGGATTAAAAAATTCCTGTTTGAGTATGTAATTCTATTATGTCCTATTTTTGCTACTGCGTAGTAAAAATAAACCTTTGGGATTAATAGTGAATTACTATTGAACTAATAATGGTACATAACTCAATGATTTTTACGTCATGCCTAAAGAACGGAACACGGTTTTAATACAAACCTGACCCTGTAATGTTCTAATATATGGAAGTGGTGGTCTTCTTAACTTATATTACAGTCATCTTCATAATTTTTCTGAACATTATTTTTAGCTCAATAAGCCCAAACTGTACCTTCTTCTTTAGTATGATTTACTATCTATTTTGGTCATTCCAGGAGATCAGACGTTCAAGGCTTTGGAATCTGGGAAACATCAGAGTTCAGAGTATTTGTCAGAAACAGAGAAGATATTGAAAGTCTAAATTCCGAACTCTATAAACTTGATCCTGAATTCTTAAACACTATGTCACTGCACATCGTGTCCGGTGAACTAAACATTTACAATCATGTGAAGCAAGGTGAAAAAATTTACCTAGATAAAAATGATGAAATTTCAAAATATGCAACAGCTGGCGCTCTTTTGAGAGACAATCGAGGTCAAGGCGAGTTGTATGGATTGACGTGTCATCATGCATTGCCTAGGGAGAACGAATTTGTGTACGTTACGTCTGGAGAAAATAAGCAACTGGCCCAAGTTGGTGAATGCATCTATTCAGATCAAAAACCTTTCCACGACTTTGCCGTTTTCCAAATAGATAAAAACAAACGTGGAACCTGTGATACGACCTTTCTAAATAGAATGGAAAAACCATGCAATGTAAATATTCACGAAGGACCCATATCAGCAAATTCTGTCGTCCATAAGAAGGGGGCAACAACTAATCTCTCTGATGGTCGGATCACCAGCTCGGAGTTCTATCATGAATTGTTTGGGAAAAGAAGTGAAATGTTCTTAGTTTCCAGTTTTAACTCCGATGAGTACCCCTTTTCTTTACAAGGGGATAGTGGGTCCGTTGTTTTCCAACACGACAGATCCCCCGAACAGAGGTCTGTTCATGCTTTGGGTCTGGTGACTGGAGGGATAGATGAAGTCCGAGACGAAAGTCTTAAAGACCTCCTGAATTCCACAGTTTGCTTACGACTCAACAAAGCCCTTTCTTGCCTTTCTGAAAAGAAACAGTTAGACTTGGAGTTTGAAAACTCTTGTCGTATATCTTCAAGCTCAGATGAAAGTGTATGAAGGGAAAATTGATACCTTTTCCTGTCTTGATCCTATTCCTTATAGAATGTTTACCTTGTATCTTAGATGAGCTCATATACATGTACCTCCCTCTAACATACGACTGTAATGAATTCTTATGTGTAGTTTATAATAGACATTAAACGTTTTAATATGGTGTATAATTACTTTACAGTCTTGTACAAAATTCAACTGAGACTTTTTTTTTCAAAGTAAATTGAATTTTGATAAATGAATGATCAAGACTTATTTTATTGACTATTAGTTACTAAAGCAATTCAAGACTTATTTTATTGATTGTTATGAATTATTAGTCACTAAAGCAATATGAGTACATCTGTTTTTCCCTCGGCATATCTGTTTGAAGATTTTAGCAGGTACCCTTTCTAGGAGTTTTTTCCTGGGGTTAATTTTTCCATCCCAAAGCTCAAGAAAAATCCAATGTCTAAGTAACCAAGAACATCAAAACTCGTATTCCAAATATGAAAAATCACTTCTTCGTGGGAAGGACGGGGGGTCGCTTTCCGGTCTTTTTAATGTATTGATTCAGCCACAAATTGTTTCGTTGTCTGGGTTTTTTCACTATGTTTGAATTTTAAATTGTTGAATTTCGGACAAAAGAGAAAATAGCATATTTCTCTCTAATTTATTCATAAATAATATTTATCACAATTATAAGCGTGTTTCTAACGAATGTAGTGAAGACTATTTTTTTAAAAAAATTATTGTAAACGTGTTCAACATTTGCAGAAAAATTAATTTTATCTTAGCATTGGATTTAATGTAGTGCATGTACAATGAATTCCATGACAGATATAATTAAGGAAGAGGAATAAATAAATAAAATATACCCTCAAAGAAAATGCTTTGGAGACGTGAGAACTGATGAGATGTAAGGTTCTTGTAGTCATCTACATTTCTTACTCCTGCCTCTTTATTCTGTGCTATCGAAATTGACGATTGAATTCCAAATGTTGTGTTTTTTAGAAGTATACATCGACTATTGCATTCAAATATTAGAAACTCCTCTTCGTTTATTTCTATCTTTTCTTTTTCTATGAGAGCTAGCTAGTTTACACAAGATGTAAGCAGAGAAAGATATGTTTACTCTATACCAATACATATTTATCGGAATATACACATAACATTAAATAGGAAGATTTTCGGTTATAACGTTTGCCGTTGTAAAGACGAATAATGACCCCCATCGAATAATGACCGGGGGTCATTTTCTGACAGCGAAAAATGACCCCAGGTCAATATTCTACGGCGAAAAATGACCCCCGGTCCTTATTCGACGTAGAAAAATGACCCTTTTGTGTCCCTAGCCCTTACCGTTCAAAAGTTATGGCCAAAATTAAAGTTTTTTGTCATAAGTACGAAAATCTCCAAGGTCAAAGGGTCAAAGTTTTAGTATCTAATGAAAAGTCATGCCAAAAAATACATATGTGAAGTACGAGAGTACTAGTATCTACTGTTTAAAAGTTATGGCCAATGTAAAAAATGGCATTTTTGTTTAAAGTGGGACAAACTCCAAGGTAAGGTCAAATGGTTAAATTTGGTGGTACCCAAAGTAAGGTCTTGTCTCAATGAATACACATATTTAAATAAATAAGAAAGTCATAGCTCCAATAAATGAAAAGTTATGGTCAAGGTTAAAGTTTTTGCGGACAAACAGACCTCCAGATAGACAGACATACTTACGATAAAACTATATTCCCCAAAATCTTCGATTACAGGGATATAAAAAGAAATGATCTTCAATTAACTTTTCATATTTTGATACAGTATAAAGAAGACTTTACAAAAATGAAAATGTTTGTTCTGATTTTCATGTTAAATTCTTTGAAAAATAGACTCAGAACTGAGTAAAAGGGTGGAGTAAAACAAGAATTAAGAAATGCAATGAATACTATACTGTATAAAAAGATATGTCTACATGTACATGTATAGTTTTTGCGTTAGAATATGTATTTTTCTGAAACAACGCAATAATTGGAGTCAGTAAAGAAAAAAAATTATATTCATAAATATCTCCAGCGTTCGTTTGATCCATTTACATGTACATCTTTGATTTTCTAGGTTTGCTCCTTTATCAGAGAAATGGTGATTAATTGATTGATTGTTAATTGCTTAAAACTGATTTGTCAATAATTCGGCAGAGAGAAATGAGGAACTTCATTACCCCTAGATACTAAAAAGAACAAATATAAAATGTATTCGAACAAATTCATGAATTACTCGAAGGAAGAACAATTATAATATACAGCATAATTTTCCCTTTCACTGTTATAAAATTTGTATCACTTTAAAAGGTGTCATTTTTCGATAGGGGTCAATTTTTTTTATAGGTCTAACATATAAAATAATGACCCCTAGGACTCTTTTTCTAAAAAAATGATTTTTTCTAGGGGTAGGGGGTCATTTTTTGTCGTTGAAAAATGACTCCGGGTCAATATTCGATGGGGGTCATTATTCGTCTTTACACCGGCCGCCCACATCTTGGTTTGTTTTCCACTGACCCTGTGGCAAAAAAACTTTCTTGCGACATCGATAACTGTTGACTTTGGAATTTTCAACATCTCACTGACCTTGTGACGGGAAAGACCACTATATCAAATTTGTATCAAGTCTATAATGATATTTTTCGCCTCCGTCCCAAGCTAATGCACTTTTCGACCCATATTTTCAAATTCGTAATTCTGACAACTTTCGCTAACTACAGACGACAACAAATGATCATGTGATACATCATGTGACTAAAAATATAAATTTATAACACTTCGTCATCGATGACGTGTAGATACAAAAACAAGAGACTCAAAGTATGTACTTTCGTTTTCAAGCGTAAACAAACCGCCAAGTTGACTGAATACTTATGGCACGTGTCTGTAGTTCAAATTCATTTTGGCTCGTGGAATATTAAAAGTATTCAAAACTGACAGTTGATTTGAAGAATTTCTTCCTTAGAAAGGGAAGTATGAATATAAGTAGTATTACCACTTTTAGAATTAAGTCCAAGTTCTTGTAGAATGCAATTTATATAATGAGCTTTACAAACAAAGACAATGTTGTTACCTTTCTGACACTGACAGCATTGAAGTACTTTAATGTGGGTTGTGACATCCTTAAACATGTTTTCTCATTTAGATTCAAATTGTCACCGCAGGGGACACATTACAATAAAAAATAAATTTTTTCATAGACATTTATTTTATAATGTTTATAATGTTTAAAAATCAGTATTTGCTCTGCTCCTGATTTGTATTCGTCAAATAAACTGAACTTGAAAAATTCTCTATACCCTGGTATCTCACGATTAAAAATAATTATCATCTCTCATTGTACGTGGATCAAGTCATTATTATTTATATTAATAAGAATGTCCGAAATCTCCTTGTCTGTTTGTCTGTACATGTGGGGAAAAAAGGTGAAGTTAACGAACAGTGATCGATCGCGCAAATAACACAAACAAAACAATTCTGTGAACAGCACATAACAGGGACCTATGGAAATTACAGAGGTGGAATCAGGTGCCTGGGATGTGTAAGCATCCCCTGTTGACTGATTATAACCTGCCTAGAGACCTATTTATTTATCAAGTATACGGAATATTTTGTAGTCAAATTCATCGCAAAAAGTTTTGCCAATTGATATGTAACAAGTCAGCCAAACACAAGCACATTAAAGTTTAAGCAAGATAATCTTGTCGTTCTATATATCTGTATACACATAGTTTGTTGTTCATTCCTGATCCCATCCAAACAACGTGATTTTTTTCGTCATATCCAAGTCCCAATGGCTCAACCATTCCATCTTGTTTTGTTGGTAGAATTGACAGTAGAAGACCATCCCTGTTTATCAATTGTATTGTTTGGTCTAGTCGACCACATATCAGGATATTTAAGAATGCATCTACACAAATTCCACTTGGCATAAATATTCCAAACGACAGTCCTTCTGGTGGTCCTGTGTAAGTGAAACGATATTTCCCTTCATGGTCTGTGACGACCACACCATTCCATGTATCAGACACGACAATATCTCCATTCCCGTTCTCTGTGATATAGATAGGCTCACTATATAATGGTTCGCCTGTTCTGTGGTATTGGATGGTTTGGATTTGTTGAACTGTACTACTATACCGAATGACTTTCACATCTGATAATGGTATGGTGGGGTTTCTTGTATCATATCTCATCATGACCAGCAAATCTCCAGTAGAGCCTGAGTGACAGATACACCATGGTTCCCATAATTCTGTTCTTTTTATCAATGTCGACTTTGTAGCATTGTCTGCACTTATTTTGTTAATGTTCCAGTCTTTGTCTACATAAATCAACTCTCCTTCACTGTTTACTGTATGTACACCATAGTATTCACTTACATCAAATAAATGATGTAGAATGTTACCTTTAGAATTGGTCAAAGTAAGACTGTGTCCATCACTGACCCAAAGTTGCTCTGATGTTACAAAGGAAATGTGTACACCGTGATTTAAGTTAGTCACATAGACATGCTTAGTATTTAGGATAGCCCCTTTTAACAGTCTCAACATATTCTCATTTCTAACTTGTCTTTTTCCTGTCTCTGTGATTTTGATTTCAACTAATAGCTCTAAAGTGTCTCTTATTCTTATTTCTTTATTAAAGTTACACTTTATGTTATCAGGAAGTTCTTTTGTCTTGGGGACAGGGGTTTTCTTTATGAACAATAGAAACCTCACGGGTTTGTTTGCCAGTTGCTCGTATCTATGTACATACTCTGTCATTTTTTGATGCTTCATTATAAAACTCGTATAAAAATTTGTTTCATATAAATCATTTACTGCTTTACTATGTATTTCGATAAGTTTTCTCAAGTTTTCAGCTTTAACCGCAAGCTCTTGTTGGATGCTGGAAAGTTTTGCTTTTAAGTTTTTTACATCTTTTTTGACGTCAAATTCGAGACCTGCTAGGATCGCACTGTTGTACGGGAGACTATCACCTCTAATTTGAATAATTCTTTCCTTGTGTTGCTGTCTTTTAACCGTGCAGGCTAATTTGATATCAAGAATTTCATGTTTCTTATGCTTATAATTTGCATCACAGATGGGACATTTACAAGATTTGCACCAGTTTTTATATTTGCAGTTTGGGTGTCTATCACATGACTCTGGTGTTATAAATTTTCCATGCTTCAAACGGTATATAACCACATCATGGTCTTTGGTATCGAGATACACAACGTGTTTCTGCTTACACGCTAAACACAGATTTTGTTTACATGGCCTGCAGTAGAATTTCACATCAGTCGGACAATGAGAGCACAGAAGAACTTTAAGTTGTGTTGTGATATCCTTATCCATGGTGTTCCTTTTATGTGTTTTCTTCTCTAGATTCAAAGTATTACTTCAGGGGACAGTCTACAATTAAAAAAATATTTTGATACAATTACTTTTTCTACAGTTAAATGTTTCTAAGGAAATATGAACTTTGATAATATGAAGAAGGATATGGAGATAACGAACAGTATTCAATCTCAACGTCCATTAAACAATATACAAAATAAGAGCAGAGCAAACACGGACCTCTGAAACATCAGAGGTGGGATCAGGTGCCATGGAGGAGTGAGCATCCCCTGCCGACCGGTCACACCCGCCGTGTGCTCGTTGTCGTGATCAGGAAATAACGGAAAAAATCCGTCGTCAATTCAGTGTATAAATAATGGATTAACAATTGGTATGAAAAACGTCAATCAGCATATGGCTTAATAATAAATTGTATTTGCTGACAAGGTCATTGTATCGACCATAGAATTTACGAAATGATGACTTTAAACGAGACTGTTGATATTCTTGTTTCATCAACTTGCTTGTCAATAATTTACCTCGTTTAAGAAATTGTTCATACGTAGAGCACGCTCTTGCGTATCGAATCAACTGAGATATATATAATCCGTATGCAGGTGATGAAGGTATATTGCTGCATAAGTAAGGGAAGTTGACGATAGAAAACTTAAAGTCATCACGTTTATCATATAGCTTGGTTGTTAGATTACCATTAGTGTCTTTTTCAAGTAAAATATCCAAGTATGAAGCAGAAGTTTCGGACTCTGTGGTATCTTTTATCTCAAGCTCACCAGGATATATCATATCGACGTAGGAATGGAAATTATCATTATTAATTGACAATACGTCGTCGATATATCTAAATGTCGAGTTGAAGGCCACAGCAAGTGTTTTCTTCTTTTCACGCATAAGATTTTGTATAAATTCTGCTTCATATGAATATAAGAATAAGTCTGCTAATAAAGGAGCGCAATTTGTACCCATGGGAATTCCAATAGATTGTTGGAATACCTGGTCTCCGAAAACCACATAGATATTGTCAATCAGAAACTCAAGCATCTTCTTGATGTCAACTTCAGAGTACTTATGTGTGCAATCAGAATCTGTTTTAACAAAATAATTTTTCAAATGACCAATGACGAGGTAAGTAAATCTACGAGTTCCATTTTTGTTTCAGAAGAAGCAGCTGTCAATGATATCAAAAAGCCTGGATTTTAATTTGTCGTGGGGAATCGTTGTGTATAAATTTGAAAAGTCGTAAGTTTTTAAGCTGTTGATTTTTGTGAAGTCTTGTGATTTCAAATTGTCCAAAAGTTTTTTAGAATTTTTAAGTATCCACATCTGATTTACACCACTTCTTATATAGTTGCACAGTTCCAGAAAAAATACCTTTCTAAAGGACAGGAACACAGTTTCAGCTGAAAATTATTTAAACTTATTGTTCATTTTTTCATGCTTACAAATACTTATCTAAGCTATTTTTTTTATAAATATGAAAAAATTTAAATTTCAGTTGACGAGATACAATTTAAGACAGATTTAGACCTCCAATCCTTTGATACCGGTATGTAAACAAGGCCCTTGTCATGTTCTTGTTTACATAGGTTAAATATACTAACATATGTTCTTTCAAAGTAGTTTTTATCAATTAAGAAGTTAATTCTAAATACAATTAAACATTTTATATTGATTTGCTGAATCTCATTTTGTCGTAAATAAGATATTTTCTTCATTGTAAACAAAATTGAGGCACGAACCCTTGTTTATATTATGGAGAGTTAAAGTTCCGTTTCTCTGACATTGAATACTGTTCGTTATCTCCATATCCGGCGTCCTTTGTAAATAACAAATTATGATCAGCTGACCATTTGAATTGCTTTAAGGGATTGTAAATATTAAAAGTGTTTTTAAAAACAAAATCAGTTAAAACTGTGTTCATGTCTCATTAACTAACTAAAAACTAACAATTCACCAAAGTTTACATTTTGTATGTTAAATGACATAAAAAGAACAAGCATTTACATTAATTAAGCTGTAGATATATAACTTATTTTAAATCAAAACATGGAAATAAATATTGTTTATATGTTCTTTAATAAGTAAAATATAGCTTTGTTTAACCTAGCTTGATTCAATTATTTTCAGTCGTGTTTAACTTTAATTGCAAAATTGTAAACATCTTCGCTAGCCAAGGGTTTCTCATACGCTACTCTCCTCATAATCCCCGTTGATTTCACTGTGGAGAGCGGAACGTCTCCATGCGAATTATCAAGGGTGCGAATCGGTGTTCTTTTTACACTTATCAACTCATATTTCCTCAACCAAAAAAATATGTTATAGCTAATAATACAGTTTTAAATAATATTTTTCTCTACTTACGAAATGAAATTCGCTACAGAGTTTCATCTTATCTGTCAGAAAAGGACAATATATCCTTCGTAAATAACAGCGACCAACAATCACAGCATTTTATCCGGTGTAGGAAGGCAATCAGTGCGAAGGAATCGTACACAAAGAAAACATGGGTCAAATTGACACCCCAGGTCATTCGGCACGTCTCTCTGGATATTAAAAAATAATTTTTATCCGCAAAAAAAAAAATAAAAAAATGGATAAGTAACGTTTTTATGTCAAGTAAAAATGGCTAAAGACTTCTGTATCGGCAATTATAGCATAAGTCCGAAATATCTGTCGTTGTCCAAATTTCTTTTTTACGATTTTGATATTTTACCGTACATTTTCCTGGCATGTAAGATATCAAAATCATATTTAAAAAAGCGAAGAAAACGTCAGATTTTTCGGACTATAATGGTATGTGGTAAAGTTTAATTTGGTTGGAAGGTGTAAAAGTAGGTGCTTGTTACAAAACACAAAAATTATTGTGTTTATTAAGTAAGTTAGTATTCTGATCAATAATTTTATCCTGAGAAACAATTTTAAAAACGATATTTGTGGATCAGTTCAAGTGGCTTTATGCTGTGAATGAATTTTAATTAAAAAATAAATTTAATAAATAAAGAGAATGTTTTATCAAATTTAACATGTTAAATATCATATATTTAATTGAATTAACGATATATTGTTGATTTAAATTCTTTTCACAAGACCCCTTTAGATATACTTATCAATAAGCATATTTTCCAACCCCCACATTTACATGTATCAAACGAGAGCATTTTCTATGTTATTTACGTACATGCATTTACTAATTATAGTTTTAATTTACGTATAATTATTTTTTTTTTTAATTCTTGCAAATTCTAAATAAGCTTCTAATTGTTTTGTAATGCGGACAAAATTGAAATAATTTTTGTACAAATGCTGACGCATTTATGTTGAACAAATTAATTGGTTCTTTTACGAGGGCCGTTCAAAAATTACGCGGACTGTGCTATTATTTACTCTTACAGACGTCATAGAGTTATGAAATTTCACAGAAATATGTATCTCAAAGATTCCAATAAATTTTGGGTAAGAATTCTGTATTTTAAAAAAACTCTACTAAAATTATCGGTATATTGATATCGCTGATAGAGAGGTACGGAGCACGACAACAAATTTGAAGCAAAAGTATTTGGAATCCAAAATTTAACTAATTTATTTTCTATAATTCGCAATATTTTTCGACAATTTTCTCAAATGTATCTTTAAATTGTTCTAATATTATGTATTTGGATTTCTGGTGTGATATTTGAAGTACTAAATAAATTTGGTTTTTTTTCTCTGATGCTATTCCCGTCAAAACGACTGTGAAAATGACGTCTCGTGAATTGACGGCGCACCACACTTTGGTTTAATTATGTGTAATGCTCTAGATATCGCCAAATTAGATCCAAATATGCATAATAAAACATGTAGTAATCTAGGGTATTCGTGACATTCGTCCACAAATAGCAAATCGGAATTTTAGACCTCTGAAAAATGCCTATAGGGGAGGACGGGAAGAAGATTATCGACGAAAACTTTATCCGAACTGTAAAGAACGTGATTGAGAGTCATCAATATCACACTATATCTCATAAATACCTGCAGTTTTTGGTTTTAAAACAAAAAAAAGAATATTCTTTACTTGTTTAATAGATTTAAAGCTTGACAAGAAATGGTGTTGGATGTTGAGTAGATAAGATAACTTAAAACTGTACAGGTACTTTTGGGAAAATGTTGTGAAAATGAAAGCACAATCACCAATTTTTTTTTATGATGTATGTGAGTGACGTCGTAGATATTGCTGCTCCGTGACTTAATGATATGGCCTGAAAAATCACTCAAAATTGATACCAATTTACAGCATTTTGATATGAAATTTTGTAGACCATATAGGTAAAGATTCTTTTATATTATGTGCGACATTTTGCCCGATTATGTCGTCAAATATTTTTTCTGTGCAGCAAGTCCGCGTAATTTTTGAACGGCCCTCGTATTTGCTCCATCGATGAATATTC